TTCAGTCCTTTTCGCAAGTCCAATATTGTCCATCTTTTTGTTGAGATATTTTGGTCAAACGTTTTCAGCAAATCTAAAGTAAAAACTTATCTGCAGATGACAAAACTTAATATGGCCATGATTAATTCATAAACATATTAATAGTAAAAGACCTGATAGAAATTAATTACAAGCCAACATAAAAGGCCAAATAAAATCAGTTAAAAAAAACTTTAGATAAAAATATTTCTAAATATAGCCATTAACTGTATTCAAAGAGCTTCAGATATAATACATAATAATTTTGAGACAAAGTACCATACAGTCAGGGTATACCAAGAATATACCAAGATTATCAAATCTCTAAATACCTGAATAGTAATAAAAAAAACTTCATAGGTAAATGATGGGAATTCCCCAATCAAACCATTGGCTTTGATGATGCTAGATTCAAAAAGATAAAGTTGGGACCAAGTTAACAATAAAGAAATAAGTTATTTAACCAAAGATCTTAAAGTAAAAACCTTAGCTTTCTTTTCTAAAAGCCATGTGGCTTAGTTTTCAGACTTAGGAATCTTATTCTAATGAGAGGCCAAACCTTTGTCTTCCAGGCAGGTTACACAAAGAATAAATTAACCCTTTAATGCAGAAATCAAAGAAATTTTGTTATTTTAACTGTGAGAAACCCAATTCTTTGTTTTATATGCTACTTAACATTAAAACTCTTAAAAATCTCATAAATTAAACCATTAAACTTTGGTCAGACAGGTAAGACTTGACCATATCAAAGAAATTTCTTTTCCAATAAATCTCTTAAACATTGACTTTGTTGCATTCTGTATTCTTTTGCCTTTAAATGGCAAAAATGAACACTTATTAACAGACAAATATATATATAAATATATATCCTTTCTCATGGCATAAAAAGCAAAAGTATATAAGCTTAAATTATGACAAATATCTATTAATTTAATATCTGTAAGTTACCTGAAATGTTTTGGGAATTATTTTAAGCCTATATACCATAAAACATAAATGTTGTTGAAAGAAAAGTCTATTTAAACATTCTAAGATTTAATTCAACTTTTACTGTTCTCATATTTTTCCCAATCTAATTTTAGCCCTTAAAGATTTTATCAACTGGCTTTGGAAATCACAGAGTCTCTGCTCAACTGATCAATTCATAGATATGGATATAATCTTAAGTCTCTGGCTAGGAGTGGAAACATTTTTCCAGGCCACGTCAAGTGTGTCTCATTATAATTTCTATTGTTTGACTTCTTAGAGTTCCCCTATAATAGAGGGAACTTGTTTACAGTTCTATAATCGGGATCCCCTCAATTTCTGTAGCAAAGCAGCAGTTTTTCTGTTGTCTTAAAAGAGTCTCTACCTAGCTGGAAAGGGGTCTTTCAAAAGCTTCCCTGGAGCTACACAACCTTGGAGACTGGGGGCTGGGGCTGAAGAGGCCTGATTTTGCCCCGCCCTCACTCTCTTGACTCATGAAAGACATTTACATATGTTTCAATTGATGGAGGCATTTTGAAGGACAAAAGAGAACTAATTTTTTTTTTACTGTTCTGGAACTGCTACTTTTACTTTAAGACAAAACTATCCTTTTTCCTTAAATAAAACACATTTCATATAATATCTAGCATAAGTTCCTTAGAAAGTTCACTTTTAAGATTGACATAGTATAAAACATAAAGATCTTAGTGTATTTTTCAAATAGACCAATTTATATCAAAATTTCTCCAAGTAACTATTAAAAATCTAAATCATAAGACAGACACAAGATGCAGTTTTTTCTGGACGAAGAAAGAACTGAGGTTCTATGACTAGCCTTACAAAAAACAGCAATTCTTAGCCACAATGTCCAACCTGATACAAGACAAACTTAGACACAGTGCTCTAGACCAGAAGCAAGCTCTTAGAACAAAAGGAGACAGAAAGACCACATACACTCACCAGATAATACCACACAAAACAAGGATATGGGGATCCTAGTTTCTTGAAGTGTATATAGCAATTTTTGGTAAGATCGACTGAAGTCAATGGGAAAAAACAGGTACAGAACTACCACTTCTCCCTTAAATACCAAAACACAGGTCAGGAGCTGCCACCTCCCCCCGAGAATTTGGCAAAACAGAGCACTATCTGCCAGGTTTTCTCTGAGCCACAGAAAAGAAACCTAACAAGGAACGCCGCAGGGTTTGGACAGTGTTTTGCTTTGACCAATGTGTACCTTCGTTGCACGAGATTTTTCTTGTGGGTGGCGGGCAGCCTAGTGCTGTAGCCTGTCTCGTGACCACCTTATCCTGTCACGGGAGATTTTAACGCTCGTTATGAGAGCCAGTGACCGCCCTAATGGCTTTTACTGGTCAACCCTTGCCTGAATTTTTTTTTTTTTTCAGCTTATAGTGGCTCAAAGCTCTTTGAAAATAGAATTCCTTCTTCAGATACCTCAATCCAAGCCTAAACTGCAGTTCACTTAACCAAACAATCAAGCAAAAATCTAAGAAAGATTCTCCTTAATCAGTCAACTGGTTTTACAAACAAATATGCTGAACAAAACTTAAGAAAACATGAGAAACAGAACAACAAAAGAATAAGCAAAGGTTCATTTTCTGAGAGCACTCACTGCATCAATTTCAAAGGGACATGAAGTGGGAACACATGGGTCCAGAAGATAGGACCTTTCTTTGCTGGCTTCTGCTCCGCAGTCCAGGTCTCCTCGAGGTTGACTGGATTCGTAGCTTCAGAGATCCTTGACGACTACGCCATTAACTGTTGTAGGGGAAGAACATCATAAAGTTTAGTATAGCAAAAGAAAGTTTTATTCGGCATATGTTCAAAAGAGCAGAAGTGGGAAACGGACAGCCATGCTGCCAGAGCCATGTCTGCCCGAGTCCAAAGAAATATCACAGAACAGACAGAAGCGGGAAAACAGGCATGCTGCCACAGCCATGCCTGCCCGAGTCCAAAGAACCATTACAGAGTCATCAGTATATATTAACACTACAAATGGGCAAAACCATTGAAAGCTTAGCCTTTTCAGATTGGCTAGAAACTGTGATCCTACATTTTGAATTGTCTTTCTTGACAGTCATTGGTATAGGTTTCAGTAACGACAGTCAGGAGAGCCTTCGTTGGTCCAAGAAATTTCTATTCACTAAATGCTAATAGAAAAAGGGTAGAAAGTCTTTTGTGTTCTGTTTGATTGGCTTTGTGTGGAAGTTTCCCTAAAAGATATTTTCCAAGATTATCTTAGCTATTGTCTTTACACCTCAGAGCCCAGTTGATGTGTCCTTGTGAGTCCTTGTGAGTCCAGCTCCATTTGGGTCACATTCTCTATGCTCAAGGAGAGGGAATAATAACTCCAATATTATTTCCTAAATCAAACCTCACAGGACTTAGTCACCCGCTCTTGGAGGGAGTCTATGAGAACTGACACCCCTGTAGCTCTTACAGAGGATTTACCACCCGATGCCCAGTTACCTACCATGGCTGACGGAAACTTTCTCCCTCAGTCTAGAGCTCGCCGCCGTGGAATCCTCCCCTATAACCAGACTTCTGGGCCACCACAGGTTGAGAGACCTCCACAATTCAAGGAGGGGTGCACCTTCTCTCTTCCCGGGTCCTTCCCAGGGGCCCGGTCCTTAGGGAGATGGAACGAGGGCCTGAGTAATTTGAGCCCCATGTTGGGCGCCAAAAATTCGTTACCCAAATAGGGCCCCTGCCCTGGAGCAGTCGAGCCAATGAAACATACTCCAAGTCACAAAGAGTAAGAAAGTTTTGTTTTAGGAGGTGTCCACCACCAGGGATCGTACAGCAACGCAGGCTGTCTCTATGGAGTCCCAAAAGGCATTTTTACATTAGAGTTTATATGTGATTTTTACAAAGATTATAAGTGTTGTTATACATTGTAAGGTAATTATAAGAGACTCTATCATACTAAAGAGATATCTGCCAGACATTTCCATATCTGACATCTGGTCTCTAATCTTCCTGTGGGGGGGGTTTGTAAGCCACAGGTGGCCAGACAGAGCAAAACCAAGCCATTAACAAAGGTATGCCAAAAGGAGAAGGCAAAGAAAAAAAAAAACTTATAGGTTCATCATGGCATCAGTTATGTCAAGCTCTCAGTCGCCCATTTTGAAAAGGTGAAAACATGCTGGGGAGTATTACCTACCTTATAGGGTTTTTTGAAGATTAGAAGAGATAATGAACATGAAGGTATGATAGACATTCAGCAAATTTTAGCTATTATTAGTATTATTGTTACTCTGCATATAACATCTAATGGTGGTATAGTGATCAGTACTGTGTGATTCTATAGTAAATGCATACTGAATGAAGAGAACCAGTTCAGTAAATTCAGTCAAGTGATGTCACCATCACTAGCTGAACCATTATCACAGGTTAGGTGTAGAAAAGGCTGATGAGAAATCTGTGGACCTGGTTTTCTGGAATCACCTGCAAACATTTTCCTAGAATTATATAGGGCTGTACCTGTAAACATTTTCCTAGAAATATATACGTATATATTTTTTGTATAACAGCTTCTTACCTGCAAGTGTTTTCCAAGAACTCTATTTAAATTGGAGCGCTGGTGGCGCAGTGGTTAAGCATTCAGTTGCTAACCAAAAGGTCTGTGGTTCGAATCCACCAGCCACTCCTTGAAACCCTATGAGGCAGTTCTACTCTGTCCTATAGGGTCACTATGAGTCGAATCAACTCGAGGGCAATGGTTATATATATTTAAATTGGAGCCCTGGTGGCACAGTGGTTAAGTGCTCAGCTGCTAACTGAAAGGTTAGCTGTTGGAGTTTGAACCTCCCAGCCGTTCCATGGGAGAAAGATGTGGCAGTCTGATCCTGTAAAGATTACAGCATGTGGGGCAGTTCTACTCTGTCCTAGGATCACTATGAGTCATAATCAACTAGAAGGCAATGGGGGATATTTAAATTTTTTAAACTTGTATGCATGCATATAAATGACTTCATTTTCCCTCCCATTATTAGATTTCTGATTTATATAAGAGTCTTGAACAGAAAGAAAGTAAAATCCAGCAGCTAGCAGAAACCGTAAAGAAATTTGAAAAGGAATTCAAGCAGTTTTCACAGTTGTTTGGCAAGAATGGAAACTTGCTATCAAACATCCAGGTGAGAAGTGGTCTGTCCAATCAAAGCCAAGGTTTAGCTTTCAATTTGTAGTGAGGCTTTTTAAGTTTTTATATGGAAATTATTTCAAATGTACAGATTCACGCATTGTCAACATTTTGTCCCATTTCTCTCCCTCTCTATGTGTGTCTGTGTGTGTATATATATATATTGTTGTTGTTAGGTGCTGTCGAGTCAGTTCCGACTCATAGCAACCCTGTGTACCACAGAACGAAACACTGCCGGGTCCTGCGCCGTGCTCACAATAATCGTTGTATATACATATATACGTTTATATAGATACATGTATATATATGTATATATATATAAATGTGTATGTGTGTATTCTTTCTGAACATTTGCAAGTAAGCTGCATACATTATGGTTTTTTTACCCTTACAATACTCTTTATATAATCTACAGTAATGAGGGTTTTAATTAACATAGGCCAATATTAGCTGCTTGATTTCAGATTCATTGTGAGCATTTTATAGTCGACAAAGTGAAACTATTCATTCCCTTTGGGGGAATAATGCTTTAAACATAACTAAAATATAGCAAAAAATTACTTTGTGAATTATGAGTGTTAAAGAATCACAAATGAATTCCTAATAAAAAATGCCTGTAATCTTGATTATAAAATTTATACTGAAAAAGATTTCCAAGACATGTGATGTGGGCAATATATTTGAAATTTGGATTATCCCAGAAAAATCTAGACTGTATAATTTCCATGCCTTATCAGAACATTTACATATATGTATATATACACACACACATACACACACATATGTGTGTGTGTGTGGAGCCCTGCTGGCACAACGGTTAAGTACTCAGCTGCTAACCAAAAGGTTGGTGGTTTGAACCCACATGGCGGCTCCCTGGGAGAAAGACCTGGTGATCTGCTCCAGGTTCACAGCCTAGAAAACTCCATGGAGGGCAGTTCTATTCTGTCACATGGGGTAGCTATGAGTCAGAATAGACTTGATGGCACCTAACAACAACAGACACACACACACATACGTGTGCATTTAATATATATATTTAATTGCATTTAATACGTGTATCATATGTTAATTGTATTTAATATACATATATATATATATATATTGATATCTCAATTCCAACCTTTTTCTAACACAAATACCAGTCCAGAGTTAAGACACTTAGGGCAAGCGTGGAGGAGAAATACAGTAATAGTTCCTTTTAATCTCTTCCCTCTAAAGAGCAGTCAAAAGTTCAGGCCTTACCTCAGGCCACTTCCCACTGTAGAGCTCAGGCCAGAACAGGGGGCCTGCTTCCAGCTCATTCTCCTGCCTTCTAGCAGAGCAGGAGTGAATCCAGAAAGGAGCTTCTAAGAAGAGAGGGAAGTGGTAAGACAAGAGGAGAGTAAACATGAGACTAGAGATGTACCAGTGGGTTAGAGAACCAAGTCGAGAGACATTGAGGGAGAAGTAAAAATCAGACAAGAAAAGTTAAAAGATTTGGAACGGGAGCTGGGGTAGGAGAGGAAGAGGAAGATACTAGATTAGATGGTTCAACTCTCAGTGCTCTTCACTGAATTTTCTCTTCTGGGCTGTGTATTTTTCATGAGTTTTGATGTTTCATTAAAATGCGAAATATTTGAGTTGAAACAATTTAATCTCAATAACGTACTAAGATATTAACTGAAGTTCTTTTTTTTTTTTTTAACATGATCCATTTTGTACTGAAAGGCTCTTGCCAGTCACATTGACAAATCTGCTTGGCTAGAAGCTCAAGTGCGTCAGTTATTACAAATGGCTAACCAGCAACAAACTAAACTTGACCTGAGGCCTTTGGTGGAAGCGATTGATACAATTAAACAGAAAATTACCACGCTAGAAACCAATGATCAAATATTAGGTATGTCTGATGCTTTACTTTTCTTTTGATGCCTTGTTTGTCTGCATGTGTTTGTGAAATCAGCAAACACTTGGGAAAATGGTGAACCACAGCCGTCCAGGATAGCCAGTGGTAGAATCTGGTGTTCCTGGAAGAGAACAGCAGGAGATTCTGGCCCCTTAGGCAAGAATGAGGGAGGCCCATGAGCAGGAGGTGGAAACTGGCCAGGAAATTCCAAGAACAGGGAATGATGGTTTTTTAAGGAGAATGGAAAATAATGAGCGTGCTGAGGGAGAGATGTGGTGGGAACTTTTTTTTTTTTAACTATGGAAAAATATGCAACTGTTTGGCTATTTAAAAACATTCTAGTTAGAAAACTGGAGCCCGCCATGCTAGTGCATGCTAGTTGGATGCTGAGTGTATCTTTTCTGTGCTGTGGTGAGTTTTCTTGGTGCCATATTTGTCAAGGCATGAGGTTCACTGTGTTAATATTGTTAATACAAACGGTCCATGTGTGGTCTTTGGGTTCAGTTGATCTTCAGGATGTCAGAATTGTAGGTAACAAAATACCACTTTGGGAAAATTCTAAAGACAACTCTCAGGCCTATGGAATCTCTTTTATTTTCTTTGCAGTTGTTTTGGAAGGGCAGACTAACAAACATGACGCCCACATTAATATTCATAAAGCACAGCTGAATAAAAATGAGGAGCGATTTAAACTGCTAGAGGGTGCCTGCTACAACGGGAAGCTCATCTGGAAGGTGACAGACTACAAGATGAAGAAGAGGGAGGCGGTGGACGGGCACACAGTCTCCATCTTTAGCCAGCCCTTCTATACCAGCCGGTGTGGTTACCGGCTCTGTGCTAGAGCTTACCTGAACGGGGACGGGTCCGGGAAGGGGACGCACCTGTCGCTGTACTTCGTGGTGATGCGAGGGGAGTTTGACTCGCTGTTGCAGTGGCCATTCAGGCAGAGGGTGACCCTGATGCTTTTGGACCAGAGTGGCAAAAAGAACCACATTATGGAGACCTTCAAGGCCGACCCCAATAGCAGCAGCTTTAGAAGACCCGATGGGGAGATGAACATCGCATCTGGGTGTCCCCGCTTTGTGGCTCATTCCACACTGGAGAACGCCAAAAATACCTACATTAAAGACGACACTCTGTTCCTGAAAGTGGCTGTGGATGTAACTGACCTGGAGGATCTGTAGTCGTTGTTTCTGGGGCGGAAAGAAGACTTCTCGGGTCCGGATGCATGAAGGAGGACACCTTTGATTATCATGTTGACCTGGATCTAGACTCAAAACACATTCGTATTTGGCTTTTTGCCTGTCATGTTTGAAGTTGATTCAAAGCTCCTGAAGTGCTGTCACTTTTCTACTTTTTACTATGTCCCAGTTTGAAACTGAAAGCACTTAGAATATCCTCTCCTTATTTATATTTTTGTATCTCTTTAAAAAGAGGGTAAGTTTCTTGAGAGCAAGGTCTGGGGCTTATCTCTTTCACTGGTGCTTAGCACCGTGTCTCAGGGTAGCTGCTGTATAACATTGAATGTTAGTGAGGTGACAGAGGTGGCAGAATTCAAAATTTAAAACACTTTTGTATTTTATTATTTGACCTATTAATTCAAGACCTGACCTTAACCCTGCAAAAACCCGTTTACCCATTTTCAGGTAAATGGGTGATGTAGTTACAAAGACAGTGTACCCAGTTTGGGCTAGATGTTTTTTTTCTTAAATACTAAACTTGTGGAAGTCACTGTACCTCTAAAATATATTCAGGAAATTAACCAGCTGTCTACAAGCACAGTTTTGCAAGGCCGCACAGAACTGGTGAATGTGGTAAACATTTTCATTCTCCCTGCTGAAGTAAAGCAGAAAGTACTGTCCTGTATATACATGAGGAAAGCCAGCCAGCCAACTGAAGCTCAGGTTTTATTCGGTTCAGCCATGTGAAAAAACTTTTCACACGTCAAAAACAGTCAAATATCATCAGTTCCATAAGGTACAACCTAATAAAAAAATAAATACATCTAAGTATACAAATAGCTAAAAGATATTTTGCTAACAATAGTAAATTAATTTTAGGATGGGAAGAATTTAGTATATGATGGAGAAAATGTCATAAATGGGTAAAATGAACTTTAAAACCTAGGGAGAACATCATTGCAATTTTCTATGAGTGTCAGAAGTACTCCCATCCAAAATTCATTGCTAAAAACAGTATCTCCTGTTCTTTGTGAGACGAGCTATTGAATTCATAAATTGGTATGAAAATGGGCATTTGTATAAACTTGTGAAATTTCTTGTCAGAGTCCTGAGTACTTTGTGAAGAACAGAAATGACCATGTCCTTATTATGCACCTATCTGTATGAGTCTGAGGGTCTGTGTAGAGATCAAGATGAATCCTTAATGACTTTCGATAAGCCTAAGCTTAACAACAACAAAAAAAAAAAACCAAGTGTTCCTGAGCTCTTATTCATTATAGTGCCTCTTGCCATTGCTCACATGTGGTCTGACTCTCCTGAGCGTGCAAGAACCAGTGCCACGTGGCAGAATGCCAGGTTAAAATAGCTCAGTCTGGTGATGACAACACGCCTTCCAACTTCTGAGCAGTTAACCTGACAAATCGAGCATGATTTATGAATATCTTCTGGGAATGATATTATTGCTGTTAGCTGCCATCAAATTGGCCCCAAACTCATGGCAACCCCATGCACAATGGAACAAAACTCTGCCCAGTCCTGTGCCGTTCTCATGATGGGGTGCGTCTTCAGACTGTTGTGATCCATAGGGTTTTCACTGGCTGATTTTTGGAATTAGATCACCAGGCCTTTCTTCCTAGTCTAGCTTAATCTGGAAACTCTGCTGAAACCTTTTCAGCACCAGAGCAAACGTAAGCCTGCACTGACAGATGAGTGGTAGCTGCGCATGAGGTACAGTGATTGGGAATCGAACCAAGGCCCTGCGTAGAAACTGAGAATTCTACACTTGAGCCTCTTTCTGGGAATGACAGGAACCTTCTTAGGCTCTTCTCTGAAGCTTTTAAGATGTTACAGACTCAAACTGCAGGAGTCATCTCAAAGGGTTAAAGTGGCTGCTGATGAAACATAGTACAGCCATTGATTAATAGATCACTTCAGATAATGTTGGGAATGTTTCTAATCAAGTACAGTGTCATCCTTGTGCTCCTTGGGAGTGAAAGATCATACTGTTGTGAGTAACTAGTTTTAAGTAGTTGATGGGAACAATATTTAAGTGAATTTGTCAAAATACTGGTTTTGTGTTTTAACCAACTTATACATATAAAAAGTTTAAGTCATGGTGTGATTTGCTTATGAGATCAGAGCCCCTTCATCATTGAAGTAGTTAACAAAGAATTCTGAAGTAAAAAGCTTTCCTTTTTCACAAAATAGGAGTTGTGATTTTTGTTTTGAAAAAGTGAATCCATGTAAAGTATTATTTGTCTCTTATGATGTGAACAGTTATTTTTATTCCGTGTCAATAGAATTTAAATTTCTATTTCCATTTTTGTTTGATTTCAGTTCCTGATGAAAAGAATGAACTAGGCATAAAACCAAAACCCATTGCTGTCGAGTTGATTCCAACTCATAGCGCCCCTATAGGACAGAGTAGAACTGCCCCATAGGGTTTCCAAGGAGCAGCTAGTGGATCTGAACTGCCGAACTTTTGGTTAGCAGCTGAGCTCTTAACCACTGCACCACTGGGACTCCTCACTATGCATAAAGGGGGAGTTAATGTCCTTGAGAAAGGTATAAACAGGCTTAAAGTAGGGTGAGAAGTTGAGGGGTACATATTAATGCATATTAATAGGTCTGCATTCTGACCCCTGATCTCTAAATTTAATATTTTCAGAGAAACCAAAAAATAGTCACAGCCAGTCACGTGGTCCCTGGCAGTCAGTCCACACTACTACCTCTTTTCTCTAAGATTCTTAGAAAGTAGTTGGAGAGATGGATCTTAAGTAAAATTCTGAGCTAGAGATAAGGGTTGGATGGATGGGCAGTGGGGGACCCAGTTGGTGAAATCCGCTAGGGAATCTCACATTCTAGGGAAGGAACAGCAAAACATTTGGAGAAGCAATGATCAGAGGTAAGAGTAGTACCAAGGAAAGTAGGTCATAGAGGCCAAGGGGAAAGAACATCAACAGGGCCTATGCCACCCCAAAAGGACAGCCACTCCAGGGCTCCCCACAGCATTCTCTTGCACTTCCTATCACTCTTCTATACTTAGAGATCCCACCCGTCCTGTTGGTGTCAAGTCAGGTCCAACTTATAGTGACCCTATAGGACAGAGTAGAACTGCCCCATAGGGTTTCCAAGGCTGTAATCTTTAGGTAAACAGACTGTCTCATCTTTCTCCCAAGGAGCGGCTGGTGAGTTCGAACCACCAACCTGTTAGTTAGCAGCTGAGCACTTAACCACTGGGCCACCAGTGCTCCTTTAGAAGTCTCACAGGTACTTTAAAGTCAGCTTCACAGTAACTGAATTGGGAATCTTTATCACTGCCCAACCTATTCCTCCTGTTTATACAACCTCAATTAATAACATCATCATCCAAGCTAGAGATTTGAACATCATTTTAAATTCTTCCCTCACCTTCCCATCCAATCGCCCATCCAGCACTATTACTTTTACCTCCAAATCGTTTCTTGAAATGACTCCTACTTATCCCTACTACCTACTACTGCCCTATTTCAGACATTTTTTGGCCTCACAGCTGTTCCTATTTTTAGTTTTGCCTCTTTCGAATTCAGTCTTCACACTGCCACCCAGTGATGTTTCTTAAATGAAAATCAGAGTATTACTCCTCATCCCATCCCCACTGTGGCTCCTGTCACCTGTAGGATAAAGCCCAGCCTCCTTAGTGTGGTATACAAGGCCCTCCATGCCGGGCCCCCTTGAGCATCACCTCCTGACATTTCTACTTTGCACATCAAGCTGTTTGGCATTTGTCTTTGCTTGTCTGTGCTACCCTTCTACCTGGAATACTTCTCCTCTGTACTCCCCCCTCCACCCCTCTTTGCCTGTGAATTCCTCCCCTTTGAGATTCTGCTTTGGCTTTGCCTTCTCCAGGGGTATGTCTCCCAGACTAGCCCTTAATCTCTGCACACCCTACCCCTCCCTTCACTAAGCCAAGAGCCTCTGCTCTGTGCCGCACAGTCGCTGTCCACACCTCAATTTCTGGGCATTTCTTTTTCCAGAAAACACACGTTTGGTTGTCTGTGTATTTGTCAGATTCTGTGTTAGGTGCAAAAGAGAACAGATACTGTTCCTGTCAAAATTTTTTAAATTTTTGTTTTATTGTGGTAAAATATATATAACAAAATTTGCCATTTAACATTTTTAAGTGTACAGTTCAGTGGGATTAATTATATTTATCATCATCCCAGAAATTCTGTACCCAGTGAGCAGTAACTCCCCACTCCCTCCCACTCCCCTGCCCTTGGTAACCTCTAATCTACTTTGTGTCTTTGAATTTGCTTGTTCTAGATATTGCATATAAGATCATACAGTATGTGTCTCTTTGACTGACTTATTTCACTTACCATACTATTTTCAAGGTCATCCATGTTGTAGTATTAAAATTTCATTCTTTTTTATGGCTTAATAATATTAGTACAGCCTGCCACCTTTCCCTGTGACCCACGAATGAACCTTGTGCTTAGGTCCAGATGTGTTGGCCTAGTTTTTTGGAAAGGATGTGAAAGTGGGCTGACTTCCTTTCTGGGCTATCTCTATCCAAAATACATCCCGTACAGACAGTGAGTGGTCTGTCAGAAATCTACCTCCTCTGTCCCTTAGCACATGAGCATTCCTAGGAACTTGCGTGGCTAAACATGCACTTCATACAGCCCCTGGCCAACGCCACTTCTGTATTTGTTCCCAGTAGGGAGGGAACGGTGTCCTAATCCTGCAGCACAACAGGGATGTGTGCAGACCATCTCCGTGCCTGGGCTACAGAGAAAAATCTGCCAGCCATGGGGAACTGAAGCACACTATTGAAGCTGATCTTGCTCCGTCTCTTCTCTAGATGAGTAAAGTTGTTCCATCCAGTACCTGTGTGTGAATCACATCTTTCTTGGCAACCCCATCACCTGGAAACTATGGAGTGGGTTGCTATCCTCTATATGACAGAACTCCTACCCTGGACGTGGTAACAGGTGTCACTTGCTCAACAATATACCATTGTGTGTAGATATCACATTTTGTGTATCCATTCATATTGTCATAAAATTTACATCTGAAGGTTGACCACAGGCCAAGGTGACTAAAAATGATCAATGTGTAGATGTTACCAGCCCTCTCTGTCTGATAAAGACTTTGCCTTTGAACTTCTCTTCCCCTGGGCCCTGAGAAAAATGTCTCTCTAAGGCAGTTTCTGGGTGTTTGTGATGCAAAATAAGAGAATGGGTAGAAAAACATTTGAAAGTTAAACCCTAGGGATAAGACCTATGGGGAAAAGCTAAAACATATTCACTAAAGGATTGAAGAGAATTAAAGAGAGAAAAGGGATATGAAACTATGGGAACTATTGTTGAGATTGTGGCTTGGATACTTTTTGTCTTCCAAGAGACCCAGGTTAGGGTCTGAAATATATATATATTTTATTTTTGGCTATTTGGACTACACTTCTTTGAATGAAACGGTATTAAAAATAGACTCCATGGCTCCAGGATTTATAAATCATTTGAACTAATAAGTATATAACAATATAAGAAGTTGGGATAAGTGCCTTGAAAAAAAGGACAGACTGCAGAGAAAGAATAATGGGGCAGGGTGGGGAAAACAATTAGGGCTGCCAGGGAAGACCTTTATGCTGAGGTGACACAGATTTAGTGTTCATGTGACGAGTTTTCTGAATGTCTAGCACTTTTGAACATCCCTCTAAAATGTGAGGAAACTTCCCATGGGAAAACATGCCTTCTCGGCCTCCTTTGCAACACAGGCATGTGACCTAGCCCCACCAATCAGGCATACCTGCACAAAACTTCAACTTGAAAGTGAGTGAGAAGGAACTGTGCCGAACTCTCTGGCTACGCAGTGGTGAGGGAGCTGAAGGTAGAACTTCTGGCCCGCAGTCTCTGTTTTCTTAGATGCGACCACCGCTGTTTGTGGAAGTTGATGTTTCGGTGTCAAGTGATGGTGGCAGCAGTGGGTTTTCACTGGAGCCTCTGGTGTGTTCGGGTACCTGGCTTCTGCCCTCCTGGAGATTCTGTGAGCTACATAATGTTGTTTTTGAAAGTCTCTTCCTCAGCATGAGTGGATCCTGTTGTTTGTAACTAAAAAACCTGACTGAATCAAGCAGAGACCTGAAAGATGAGTCAACCATGGGGAGAGCAGGTGGGAAGGGAATTCTGGGCAGGGAGCACTGAGGAATAAAAGAGTTGGCTTAAGGAACTGAAAAGAGGCCAGTGTGGTTGGAGCCTAGTGAAAGAGTGGCATTTGATGAGGTGAGAAGGAGGCAGGTCCCAGAATCTGTGGCGCTGTTAGGCCATGGGGAGGAGTTTGTGGTTTATGTAAAGTGCAGTGAAATTTAACATGTTTTTGGCAAGGAAATGGTCTGATTAATGCTTTTTAAAAGATTACTTTGTGTGGAGCATAAATTAGAGTGGGGGCAAGAGAGGACATGGGAAAAGCAGTAAGGTTACATCATGCTGAAATTACGTTTACACATCTTTTCCCTGGGTGGGGCAAATGGTTAATGTGCTTGGCTGCTAACAAAAAAGTTGGAGGAGGTTCAGGTCTATCCAGAGGTGCCTTGGAAGAAAGGCCTGACAATCTTCTAAAAAATCAGCCACTGAAAACCTTATGAAGCACAGTTCTACTCTGATACACATGGAGTCATCATGAGTTGGAAATCTACTCAACTGGTATCCTTGTTACTTGTTCCCTTACTAGATCATAAACTCCTTGAAGACAAAAACCACGTCTAATTCAAGTGCATGGCAGGTACTCAAATAGTGTGTTAAACTGAACTGTATAGGCACAGTAATGCATTGGATCTTTATAACAACTCTGCTAGGTAGGTGTTGTGCCCATTTCATAGATGAAAGAACTGGAGCTCACAGATTAACTTGTCTGAGGACACATAAACGCACATTGTGCAGCTCAGTCAAGTTCCTCTAACTTTTCATATCAGGGGTTGCAGATTGGCAGCCCACAGACTCATCCAGCCCACAGGGGTGTTTTCTGGGCTTGCATGCTATTTTTAAAACTAAACAGTTTCATGTGAAATTCCAGATTCCTAACTTCTCTTGCAGAACTAGATTAACAGAGCCCACATTCACTCCTCAAAAGGCTGGGTTAAATAGGGGCTGTCCCCATTAGACAAGATATGCTAACCTCCGCTCACACTCCTCAACACCCCCATTGCCTTACACTGAAACCACTTCTCTTATTTCTTTTTCTTGCAAGGACCTTGAAAGCATTTGAGTTTGCTTAAACATTATGAGAGGCTGCCTCGGTGACAAGAAGATGGTTCAAAATGGGA